TTATATATATATATATATATATATATATATATATATATATAGAGAGAGAGAGAGAGAGAGAGAGAGAGAGATGGATAGATAGATAGATAGATATAGATAGATAGATAATAGATAGATAGATAATAGATAATAGATAGATAGATAGACGACATGAATCCTCCACACGTTTGTGTATTCGCTCTGACAGATCAAAACTGGGCTGTTGATGCCTCCCTTTACGCACACTCCGAGCAGAGGCTGCGAGACACACTGGACTACCTCACCAATGTCCTGTATGTGGACCCGGCGGGACAGATGCAGCCGAGCGCCGCCGCGCAGCAGTGGGCAGACACGGTCCTGTCAACGGGCCAGGACGGCCTGTTCTCGGTAAGGCCTTAGCCTGGTCACCAGCCTCTCTCGCGGGTTGCAAGATTTCCCTGGTAGCTACAACATATTTTATACGACTCCCGCGGCAAACGGGCCGCTTGCAGTCTCGAGGAAGGGCAGGTTATAAGCAAGGCGAGGCAAAGAGAAACATAACCATGCCTTTACAACATTGATGTCTCTTATCCCCTGACTGGAGGATGAGATCGAGAATAGATAGAATCTTCACTTCGGAAACATTTTGTATGAGCTAGCACTCTTACTCATGTCCAAAACAATACTTTAATTTCCTACATTCTATATTGTCTTTTGTTCGCCTACAGGTGCTCAACAGATTCCATGAGATGGTTGTCGGCTCCTCGGGTCTGTTCGGTTCGAAATCCCTCCTGCTGACGTACGACGCCATGTTGGCATCAACCATGCCCAGGGACTCTGTGGCGTACTGGAACAAGGTGAGATACGTGTATAGGTAGAACCTCATTGAATAGAACCTCGGAGTCCTTTTTTTTATTCAGAAACACGATGATTACAAATGAAAAGACATGGACTAAGTGACTGCGAACTCAAGTTAGGTACAACTTGTATTCTCGCAGCCACTTTTACAATGAAAGAAAAATATTTTACAAGACATTTAAAAATACATGAGGCCTCGCGTGAGTAACAAACCTCCCATCCCAGAAGACACATACAGTTAGAATCTTTTTGTTTCTAATATATAATTTTGTGCGGCTAACATTATTTTGCAGTTGGTATCATACGAACAAAGGAAACTACCGCGAAGAACTAAATATTGTATAGAATTATCAGAAAGGGTGTTTAAATCAACAATATTACCAAGTATGCTTGAAAGCTTGCCAAAAAGGACTAAGCGCTGGTAGGTATATATATATATCATTTCTACAAGATAACTCAAGAACGGCTGGATGGATTGGTTTTATACTTGGTACGTCGGGAAGGGTGTGACGAAATCAGAAAATGATAAGAGATGACTACTATTAGAAGGTCTATTAGAAGTTACCTTATTTCAAATACTGTTTTATGAATTACAAAGCAAGTTCAAATTGGACGAAAGCCAGGGGACAAAGTATAAAAGAAAAAAAGAAAGGCTTAGTGCACATCACTTAAGTTTTATTTTGATGGTACATTTAACATTATGTGCTTACGTGTTAAATTCTTGTTCAACTACTCCAGCTGCTGTGGTTCTATGAGTACACGTACTCCCTCCAGGTGGCCGGGTACTCCGCCTGGTCAACAGCGCTCAACGTGAAGGGGAGGCAGGCCGAGACGCCAGCCGTCATGGCGAGAGGGCGGGGCAAGCTCAGCGAGCAGGCCTGCTTTCTGGAGATGTACCTCAGGGGTAAGGAAAAAAACGAAATTATAGGATTAGTTAGGCCAGAGAAAGAACAATAACGTACTTTCAGTTGTCATTTTCCTATTATAAAAATGACTACTATCAAAATATTACTATTACACAAACTGCTACAGTGTATTAGAAAGTAGAGCATGCAAACTGCTATTAGATGGTAGAGTACTCAAACTACTATTAGAAAGTAGAGTAGCTAATACACAAACTACCATTAGAAAGTACAGCACACACACTTCTATTAAAAGGTACAGTACGCAAACTGCTATGAGAAAATGCAGTTTCTGTAATGTTAAGTAAAAGAGCCGGTATTCTTCAACCTCCTTGGTATTCTTGTAGTTTTACGTATTTTGGTAGGGACAACGGGACGAAACCGTCCTTTGTCGGGTTGGCCTAGAAAGGTGTATCCACTTATCAAAACGAAACGCTTTCTCGTTCGTTCCGTTAGAATGGCCGTCCGGTACATACGGGCTCCCCATGACCAACACCGGGTGCCCCGTGGCGGCGAACGTTACCTGGGAAACGGGATCTCGTTTCCAGGATACCGCCGGATACAACGAGTGGTCGGACGGTCTCCACTTCCCAGCAGACAGCTTTCAGAGTAGCACCGTGCGGCAGGAATTTTGTATGAAGGTATTACAGAACTTTCAGATTTAGTTATGTTTATCTTCGCAGGAGGGAAACATATTGTTTTTGCTCTGCTTCTTCTTCTCCAAACAAAAAAGTCAATGCCCTTGACCAGGAGGGTGTCACTGTGGTAACTGGTACTGTAGCAGACACACTATGAAGTTGGATTACATTATGTAGCAAGTACTGGGAGCGGGGGTGGTCACCATGAACATGAATGTTTTTTTTAAAATTAAGAATAGGAGCAGTTCTGTAGTTTATTGGACTAGACCAGGTGAAGGTAAACATTATACTTTGCAAAGATTATATTTCTACTTTTCAGCTTGTTTTCTCCCCTATGTGAAGATATTGGAGGTTGGTAAAAAGAAAGGTGTTTTCAAGTTGCACATTAATACATGAGTGGAATGTCCACTGTTATATAACAAGTCTTTATGGTGCGTAGGTATTGAAGAGAATAATGACCACACAGAAAAGATCTCATATTTGTCGTCAGACGTCCACTGACGGCGGTAGCGGGGAGTGGCCAGCAGGGAGCTACTGTGTCTTCAAGAAGGGAGCGTGTCCTGATGGTGAGCACGGAAGATTTCATGTCATAAACAGTATCATCATCATCATCATCATCATTGGTTTATTATTATTCACAATAAAAACGGCCTTGCAGTAGTAACTGAATTGTACCGTTCCATTACAAACATTTTAAAAGGAAATTCCGACAGAATGAAATATATACAGGTTAAAATTGACAATGAACTAGCAGTACAGTGCAACATCGTTCGAGCTATTGTCGACATCGACAGGAAGGGTTCGACAAGGATATAATCATAATATTACATTTACACACTAACGAGGAGTTTTGCCAGCGAGGGTTTTGCGCTAGTAACGTATCGCTTAGTTCCGCTGGCTTGATGGTAATGTGAAGAGTTCCGTAGGTGTCTACCGTGCTGCTGGCCTCGGGTCTGTGGTAGCCAGGAGCAGAACCGCGGCGACTGTCTGGCTTTGATGGCGAAGTTGTAGCACAAGTCACGTCTGCGAGTAGCAAGTGATTGTAGGTTAAGGTGCTGCAAAGCGTCCCGGTAAGATGTGTACCTACGGCCCAGGATGATCCTACACGCTCTGGTTTGTACTCTTTCCAGCTTAGTGATTTGTTTGTTGTTGAGGGCGGCATTCCAGACAGGAGCTGCATATTCGAGAAGAGGTCTAATGTAGCCACAGTAGATGGTAGTTAGGTCGTTAGCTGGGAGGCCCGCACGGCGCAGTATCGACTTAGTTTTAATGGCCCACAATGACATGAATGTTTGAACACACCCCCTCATTATTGTTACATGAAAGTTCCTTTCCAGATTTAATCCCTGACAAGCCACCCTTACTCTGTACAAAATAGTAAATATATCAAAGAAAGACCTTAGAAATAGTAGTATAAGTGATACTTCAAACTCGAAATGTTAATTTTTTCATATACTTGTACGTAGGTGAATTCATTTAATTTGTATCCACTTGTTTGTATTTATTGTTGTTGTAGACCTTTGGAAATTCACTGTGTTTTGTGCTAATAAGCATATCATATAGCCAGGTGGCGTTGACCAATCAGAAGCCCCCATTCCATATTGATTATGACGCCATAATGTCACAGTTAGCATGATACAAGTATTGCCAGGTGTGTTTTATTCTCACAAGTGTGCTTTGTTGCACTATAAAGCACGGCCCGGGTCAAACCATTTGCAGGGGAGTTGACTCTTTATGTTGACATTTGTAGCACGTTTCCTTGTTGAATAGAAATGTTTACCGTCTTGTCATCACCCAATTTATTTAGTAATACATAACAAAATGAAGACCATGTCAATCCATGTGAATTTTGAGCGAAAGAAAAAAAAAATATTTTGCGCCACCCCCACTAGTAAGTACATTCCTGTATTGAAAAATCCAAATGACCTCAGATGACTTCAAATGGAAGCTTGTTCTATTCTTTTGGCCCAAAATAACCACAAATTGAATACCGGTTCTGTTCCGAAGTTCCGGTGAACTCAAATGAACTCTGATAGAACAGGTAAAATCATCACACTAAAGGGCATACAATTTTAGA